ACACCTGTGGTTTTCAGCCAAGCAAAATATGGGCATATGAGTTGAACATTTACCTCAAGTAGATACACACCTTGGAGAGCACAATCATGGGAGAAAGAAGGGCTGCTTATGCACAGGGAGACAGCTCAGGGGGCAGGAGTGCATAGAGGGATGGACACTGGGAAGAGGTAACTATGGGGAGGAAGTGGGAGGTGAGCTGTTGCATTGTGGTAAACTGTGGTCAATGTCATGAGACAAAGTATATGTGAACTGCTGTATGGAAAGTGAATTTGCTCTGTAAATCTTTACCCAAATCACAAATAAATAAATAAAGAATGAGAGTGAAAATGACTACTGTCTTCCTATCATTTTAGTCTCTGAAAGGAATTCCGTGAAAGGGTCTCAGGGAAATCTAGGGGTACCCCAGAACACACTTTGGAAACTCATCTGCAGGCTAAATAGATTAATGTTTGATGTTTTTTTTTTTTTTATCGTTGACAAGAATACCCAGTAAATGTCTATCTATCCTGCATATAATGTCTATTTTTTTCTACCTTGCTTTTTCAACAATATGTCTTGGAGATCACTCTTTAAAATACCAAACCAACTGGGACTGCTCCCACAGGGTTTTCCTGGCTGAGACTCTTCAGAAGCAGATTACAAGGCTTTTCTTCCAAGTTGCCTCTGGGTGGGTTTGAAGCACCAACTTTTTGGTTAACTATTTGCACCACTCAGGACTCCTACATTCTTTATGATATCATATATTCCTTGTTCTTTTTTAGTTTGTTTGATGGTTTTTAATAAATGGAGACACATCTTATCATCTTAGTAGGATCTACAGAGCATTAGCCTTGAAACACTGTAAAATGTAAACTTGTGAGATGAATTATTGGCTCTTTAAATTTAAGGTTCACATTTTCTCTTTATTAAAAGTATATTCCAACATTTCTAATATTATTTGTCACTACTAAAAAATCATTTAGGCCAGACCTGGCATCTTAATATTTTGATTATTTCACATATAATCAGTTGCCAAGTCTTACTGGTTCTTTGTTTGGCGCTACCTTCCTCTCCACAGCATCTTACTTGATTCTTAACTTTTTTCAGCCTGTCTCCATTTTACTGCCAGATTAGTATTTCTGAACTAATCATATTAATCATTATTCCCCATTGCACTGACTTCAAAATCCTTAATAAAACTCATTGCAAGTTCAAGAAACAATTGGATTTTTATCTGCAAAAAATCTGAAAAATGAAAGGCTTTTGTCCCCTTTAAAAGAGTTTGAAGCATTCACAAGCATATAGGGAGAAGTTTAAGGGGCAGAATTACTTGAATCACACTCCAGGCAAGACTGTCTTTTAAGGTGCCAAGAAAGGCCAAAAGGAAATACCTCGTCTCAAGGGACCCTAAGTATCTCTGAGGACAGAAAAAGAGATGTCCTACTGCTCCCCCTCCTAAGTATAATCGACTCAAATAGTTGACACTGTTCATAGCATATTGTTTTCTGACATCCTTAAGAGCTTAAGGATTTCTGTCATTTATTCATTTATAGAAGACAGACAAAAGTGAAAGTATCCACTTTGAAATGTAGTTTTTAAACTTTTAAGATCACTGAATTCTTTCCTTTTAACAGAGTTGAAAACATTTATTTTAATCTGCTGCATTGCAATTATTTACTAATTTAGGGAAGAGAAAAGATTTTAGTGATTTATATGTTGATATTACAAGTATAGCTTCTCTGGGCACTGTTCACTCACTCGACTTTTCTTAGAAGTCATATGATTAGCTCCCTCACTTACCTCAGGTCTGGGGTCACCTCATTGAGCTTTTCCCCTGGCCACCTTGTCTAAACTTCTCACACTTTATATCCTTTTTTCTTGCTTCAATTTTTTTCCTCTTAGTTTTTAGCAATATACTTTGCTTACTTAGGTTGTTTGTGGTCTGTCTGGGAACAGGAATATAAGATCCCTGAGGGCAAGGATTTTTCAGCTGTTTTGCTTGCTGCTGGCTCCCCAGTACCCAGAACAGGGCTCGGCACAGAGTAGAAATTCAATAAATATTTGTTGGATGAATGCATGAAAAGAAAACACAACTACAAACAAACCTCTAAGCCATCTTTATTAAAAACTATCAATATAGTATAAAAATAGCTTAAATTATATGTAGAAATACAACTCTGCAAGATTAAATTATTTCACACAGTGTATGGATTAAAGTTTTAATACACCAAAACAAAACAAAATAAACACCCACTGCTGTTGAGTCGATTCCAACCCCCATTGGGTTTCCGAGGCGGTCACTCTTTACAGTAGTAGATTGCGGAGTCTTGCTTCTGCGGAGTGGCTGATGGGTTTGAACCATCAACCTTATGGTTAGCACTCAGATGCCTTAGGCACTGTGCTACCAGAGCGCCTTAATGTTTTAATAATATTTAATAATTTATTTTAAATACTTAAAGTATAAATCCTTGTTTTAAAAAGTGTTTATCTAGTTTAATGATAAATTCTTTTTCTCAGCTTCTTTCCAACATTTTGTACAGTAGCAGGTATGGTTCAGATGACCCCTTGGTTTTCAACCAATGGATATTTCATAAAAAAAAATTAAAATAAATGGTAGCAGTAGCTAACATTTTTATAGCACTTAATATGTGCTAGGCACTAATTAGAGGGAACTCACACATGTAACAAGTAATTATTCACAATATTATTTTCAAGAATGTTCAAATAAGACAAATATAGTAAATTAGCTTCATACCTTACCCCATTGGTATTAGAAATATACAAAATCTCCCCCAAACAGGCACTGTGTTATCAATAGTCTATTCCCTTGGCACAAATAAAGAACATCCTCTGAACCTCACAAAAACAAAAAGGTAAAGATAGGAGAGAGAGACCCTAAAATGTAATCTTTTGGGTGTGTTTTTGGGGCTAAAATATATGAGGGTAATAAGGCAGTACTCTGTATTTTTTAATATGTTACTTATATTGACTTTCATGTTACAGCCCCTGGCGAAAGGCATCATTGGTTGGATGCTAATGGAATTCAACTTAAAAATGTTTCTTTATCTGCTAATGTTTCTTTATCTGCTTTAGCATGCTTCTGGGGTATCCACACTGTCACTTTATCCCTCTTTCTGGTTAGCAGTCAAACACCTTAGGCACTACGCTACCATAGCTCCCAATAAAGTGACAGGCACTTATTATTCAATAACTAGATTGATCTACTTTCTGATGTGAATCTAAACATATTTGGGAAAGCAAGAAGTTAAACTAACTTACAATACTTACTTCAGTATACATTTAGAGATGAAAATCAAGATGTTTGGTTTTATTTCTTAAAAATGCTGTGTGTCTGCAATATGAACATTACAGTACATAATCTAGTGAATTATTTTCCCTTTTATAAGAACAGTAGTCTGTTTTTCTTTTATTTCTTTTTCCTACTTATTTATTTGAGTGGTGGTCTTCTTATTTGGTACCAGGAAAGCAATTCGACAGACCAAAATTTCATTAAATGAAACAAATAAAGTCCCTTGTGATAAAATCCCAAATCTTAGCTCAAAGCATTTTGGGGACATAGGCAGAAAATTAAGATGCTTAATTAAATACTTTTAAACAAAGTGTCTAAATATGTATATATGCACATAAGCAGTCCAAAGACAGTAGTTAAGAGCCTACCATTTGACTCAATACTATGATCTTAAGAGGGGAATACTTCAAGCCATTTTTTTATAACATTTCAAGAACCAAGGTTCCTTGCTCTTATTCCAATGCCAATATTAAGGCCCACAAGTCACTAATGAGCAAAGTATGCAGAGGTTTACATTTAAACACCTGGCTAAAAATCTTTTAAGATTATGACAGAGGGATAATAGTGTTTCTTCTAAGATCAAATGATTCAAAATGTGCACTTACTATATTTTGCATTAAGTTTTGATCAAGCTTGAGGGTCTTCATTTGAGGTAGCAGAAATGCAACAACTGATTTTAGATGTAACAAGTTTAACCTGCAATACAGTCCTAAAGAAGGACTTAATTGTAAATTCTCTAAGGCATCTGATTCATTAGGTAAATGTCAATTAAAAATGCATTATCTGTTATGACATTTTTTCCTCCCAATCCACCAGTGTAAGAAAGTTCTCATAACATTAGTTTTCTTTCCCTACTTAAGGTCAACTAAACTCATTAAAGTGTTCCAACTTCGGGAAAACCCAATATATAATAATCCACCTTGTTAGACAAAAATTAGGATTTCTTTAAAAAAAAAATTCCATACAATTTTCCTGAAATTTGTCAACTGTATTAAATGTATATGATGTACTTGAATGCATTTTAACAAAAAGAATGACAATGAAAACTCATGGACAATAGTTTAACAAATATTCCCAGTCAAAACAGAGCTTACTTAATAAAGTAAAGAAAACCAAATAGAGTTTTAAAACGTTTAATTTTTATCCTCCCATCCCCTGTGAGGTATCTAAAATACTAAGAAAATGTGTTTGATCTGATAAGAAATCAGTACTTGGATGTTATAAATTTAAATATTGACCAAGAGGGGAAAGAGACTTTAGAAAACTCAATGCAATCATCTCATTTTATATATGAAAACTCTGAGCTAAGGACTAATTCACAGAACTTGGTCACCTCCTTCCAATTTCATGCTTCTTTCACCAGATATCAATATTAGTCTTGAGACAAATATACAATGAATTGAGTATTTTTTCAAGATAAATATTTCTTATATCAGTTTTATATAAAACATTTCACATTATTTCAAACTAGTCCATAAATTAATGTTATGCACCAAAATGGCAATATGTGAATGATCTCCTCTTCATATATTTTGATCAAGTATCTTTTCAAACATTTCACACTACTAAGATTTAGTCCATCATATCCAAACAGAATTTCATCTTAATATTTAAATCATGTCTAAAATTGAACAGTGAAAAGGAACTAAAACGTATCCATTTCGTGTATCGATTTCAATGATGCTCAGTGTTTCTCTGCACAAGAAAGCACTCATAAGATTAATCCAAAAAACAATTTAAAAGCCAATTCAACAGCAATTTCTGCGACTGATTCATGAAAACAGACGTAAAGTTCTTGAGGTTTGGGATGAAGAAAGAGTCTCCTGTAGAGCAAAAGAACATATTTATCATAGAAATAAAATGACAACAACTAATAAAACCCTTCTATTTATTTTATAGTATTTCTCTTCTGAAAGAATCACTAGTAAATTTAAAAGCCATTACTCTAAATCTACAGTAGGAGGAATACAGCTAGACTTATTTCAAAATGAATTAACATAGGTGAATTATTTTTATTGTTACAGCATATAAAATTCCTACTTAATAAATATGTATTACTATACCCCTCAGTTTTTCAACTAGGGGTATAGTAATATATACAGTAATATATACTGTATAATATTATATACAGTCATTATTACTACAACAAAGCCAATAGTGTCAATGCCGTTTTAAACATAATTTGCCTAAGGCACTTGACTGCTAACCAGAAGGCTGGCGGTTCAAACCCACCAACCACTCTTCGAAAGGAAGGTTGGGCAATTTACTTCTGTAGTGATACTGCCTTGGAAACCCAAGGAGGGGTTGCTATGAGTCGGGTCCAACTGGATGGCACATAACAACAACATTAAATATTTTATTGCCATTTATATTCTTTCTAAAGGTTAATTAGTATCAAAATACTAAATATATAATAGGTATTTTTACACATAGTATTCACTTTACCATAAGTACATAAATTTTATAATTTACTATACATAACACTATAGGGAGCTCTGGTAGCGTAGTGCCTAAGGCACTTGACTTTTAACAAGAACGCTGGTGGTTCAAACCACCAGCAGAAACCATCAGAAGAAAGGTTGGGCAATCTACTTCCATAGTGATACCGCCTTGGAAACCCAAGGAGGGGTCGCTATGAGTCGGGCCCAACTGTTTGGCATATAACCACAATAAATAATACTTGTAATTTTTATGTATTTACATATCTATACAAATACTTTACATACCCATATAAGCATATATATACTATTAGTCATCTTTCTTCTGCTAGATGTAAGACCTCAGAGACAATGATTATGTCTTTGTCTTTGTGTTGGCCACACCATCCACCCACATCCACATTTTGCCTAGTGAGCTCCATTCACTGCACTGTTACATATTTATCAAGTGACTATTATATTCCAGGTGTTGTTGCAGGTGCCAGTGGTAGGCAAGACTCATGAACTGACATTCTAGTGAAGGGGGAAAGACAATTAACAAGAAAATAAACATAATGGGATGATGTTTATTATATCAGTAATGAATAAGTAGCTACTTTAATAGGGGAAAGAGATCATGGATCCTCTGGTCTGAATATCAAGGAGCCACACGTGCAATATAGGGAGGTTAAGGGGTAGAACATCTCACACTGAAGGAATAGCAGAAGCAATTCTGTTGGTGCCAATGTAGTTGGTACACACAGTGAATGCAGGAGAAGAGAGATACAATATGGAATAGAGGGCTCAGTAGGGACAGATCAGGCAGTCCTTGTACTTCGGGGGAAGGAAGAAAGAAAAGGGGAGAAATAGGAAAGGAAGGAAAGAGGAAGGAAAGTAGGGAAGGAAGGAAAGAAATTGGAGTAAAACTGTAAGAATCTTTTAGCGTATACTAATATAATTTTGTAATGTAACTGAATAACTTTTTAAGCAAAAAATACTTGAGAGGGATTTAAAGAAAATATTTAGCAAATAAACTTCTTAAAATTACTAAAATATTATAGTTAGGTTAATAATTCCATGCTTATATTTTAAAACATTTATTTCTTTACCACTTTTTGAACATTTTATTTCACTTCTAAAAATACTTCTTTCCCACTTACCCTACTACCCAGTAAGCCATAACTGGTGGTGCTTTCTTCTGATCAGTCCAGTTTTCAGGTGAGCATTCAAACAAGACACCATGTTCTTTCACAGGGTTAAGAGAGGACACTGAATTTGTATAATCCAAATGATCTCCACCATTTACTGCTTTCTTTTTCTGTAAATTAGTAGATATTATTAAGAGATATTAATAGTATTATTTGAAAATATTTCCACATATAGATTTGAATTGGCTGATCCTAATATTTGTATGCATGCAATGACCTTCTTACCTGCAAGAAAACTGCTACTCTTCCTCAAGTATTTCATTTAAAGGCAAACGTGTAGAAGAGACTTCATGGATAAAATGTCCCTTCACTCCCCCAGGGAACACTCTGTTCCAAGCCCTATATTAGTATTTACATCATATTATTAGTTTATAGGTCTGATTTCTCCAGTAGATTATGAGGTTTTTTTTTTTCCCAGGGCAGAGATAATATGCTATTCATTTCTGTATTTTTTGAAAAGAGCAGTGCCAGGTACATGTTAGTGGCCATCAAGTCAGTCCTAATTATGGCGACCCCATGCATAATTGAATGAAATGCTGCCCAGTCCTGCACCATTCCAATGATCAATTGTGGACTGAAACATTGTGATTCACAGGGTTTCACTGGCTGATTTTAAGAAGTATATCACCAGGACTTTCTTCCTAGCTGGGCTTGGTGTAGAAGGTCCACTAAAACCAGTCCAGCATCATAGCAATGCACAAGGCCCCAATGACAGACAGGTAATGGCTTGCATGAGATATAATAGTGGCCGGAAATTGAATCTGGGTCTTCTGCATGGAAGGCAAGAATTCTATCACTGAAACACTGCATGTTGTTGTTGTTAGGTGCTATTGAGTCAGCTCCAACTCATAGCAACCCTATGTACAACAGACCGAAAAACTGCCTGGTGTGTACCATCCTCACAATCCTTGTTATACTTGAGCCCACGTTGCGGCCACTGTGTCAATCCATCTTGTAGAGGTTCTTCCCCTTTTTCTCTGGTGGTGCAGCGCCTAAGGCATTTGACTGCTAACCAGAAAGTTGGCAGTTCAAATCCACCAGCCACTCTGCAGAAGGAAGAGGGGGCAATCTACTTCCGTAAAGATTTACCGCCTTGGAAACCCAATGGTAGTTGCTATGAGTTGGGAAATGACACGAGGGCAGTGGGTTTGGTTTAGCTTGCCACTTTAACAAGCATGATATCCTTTTCCAGGGATTGGTCTCTTCTGACAACATGATCAAAGTATGTGAGACAAAGTCTGGCCATTCTTGTTTCCAAGGAGGATTCTGGCTGCACTTTCAGGACAGATTTGTTAGTTTCTCTGGCATTCCAAGGTATTTTCAGTATTCTTTGCCAACATGACAATTCAAAAGCATTAACTCTTCCTCGGTCTTTCTTATTCACTTTCCAGCTTTCACATGCATATGTGGCGACTGAAAATACCATGGTTTGGGTTAGGCAGGTCTTAGTCTTCAAAGTGACATTTTTGCTCTTCAATACTTTAAAGAGGTCATTTGCAGCAGATTTGTCCAGTGCCATACGAAGTCTGATTTCTTGACTGCTGTTTCCATGAGTGTTGATTGTGGATCCAAGTAAAATGAAATCTTTGACAACTTAAATCTTTTCTCCATTTATCGTGATGCTGCTTATTGGTCCAGTTGTGAGGACTTTTGTTTTCTTCATGTCAAGGTGTAATCCATACTGCAGACTTTAGTCTTTAATCTTTTTTCTTTTTAATGCATTTTATTGAAATATAATTTATGTACAGTGAAATACACAAAACTAAAGTGACATGGGTCAAGGCTTTTTCTTTTCTTTTTTACAGTGTCCCCTCCCCGCCCCTCCCACCCCTGGTAACTAACAAAGAAAGTTTCCCTCCATATATGAACCTTTCCTTGACCCTCCATAACAATGAACTAATACTATATTTGTCCTTCTGTGATTGACTTATTTCACTTAGCATAATGTTCTACAAGTTCATCCATATTATGCAGTGTTTTACAGATTCTACATTATTCTTTAGTGCTGCATAGCATTCTATTATGTGCATGTACCATAGTTTGGTCATCCACTCTTCCACAGATGGGCACATAGGTTGTTTCCATCTTTTTGCTCTTGTAAATAGTGCTGCGATGAACATGAGTATGCATATATCTGTTCCTGTCCTGGCTCTCACCTCTCTAGGATATACACCTAGTAATGGGATTGCTGGGTCAAATGATATCTCCAATTCCAGCTTTCTAAGGAATCGCCATATTGCTTTCCACAGTGGTTATATCACTTCATAGTCCCACCAGCAGTGTATGAGAGTCTCAGTATCTGCACATTCCCACCAGCATATGTTATTTTCTGTCTTGTTGAACCTTGCCATCAGTGCTGGGGTGAGACAGTATCTCATTGTTGTTTTAATCTGCATCCCTCTGATGGCCAATGATTGTGAGCATCTCTTCATGTATTAGCTGGCCACCTGAATATCCTCCTTGGTGATGTGTCTATTCATGTCTTCTGCCCATTTTTCAATTGGATTGTTGATTCTTTTGGTGTTGAGGCATTGGAGTTTTCTATAAATCTTAGAGATAAGTCCCTCGCCGGATATGTAATTA